GGTGCATCGTCTCGGCTGGTCTTCTCCATACTCATGAACATACAAAGGTCAACCCCTATCACGATAGCACGGTATGGGAGACCGCGGAATAAAACCCAGGATTTCGAGGAGCTCTCGTCCATACGGTCCATCGAGCCAAGCCAGAGTTTTAGCCCGAATCTAGGCTCGCCGAGCCCGCCGGAGACCCCGAACTTGTCGCATTGCGTTTCTTGCATCGGGAAATACTTATTGTTGGAGCCTCTCGAGGGAGACCACGTTTTCCGAGCCGTACATCTGCACAGTGGCGAGGAGCTGGTTTGCAAGGTAATCCCTCTCCTCCTTGTTCTCCCCCTGGGCTAGCCTGCTGTCGCCTCTTGGCTTCCCGTGGCTCGCAGGAGGGCCGAGCGCGGTCGTGGAGCTCAATTATTAAACAGCGGAGAAACAAAAGGCAGGGAGACGGGATTAAAGGCGCATCCTGTAACTTTTCCCTCTCTCCAGACAATGGCCACGTTATAGCGGTGGCCCGCAGCCAGTTCTGCCTCTTACCCGGGGGATATTGTTCTGGAAAGAGCCGTCCTTTAAGTAGGTCTTAACGTGAGTTCAGCTCAGGAGAAAGCCTCATCTTCCCCACTCTCACTTTTCAAAATGGAGTAGGGAATCCCCAGCTAATTTTAAGGTGTTGGGACCTGCCGGCTCCCTCGATTTTTCCTGTCCCTGGTTCTGTGAGTTGGGGTACAGGAGGGGATGGAGAAGAAGGGGGGGTGTGGGGGGAGATTGCCATCAGCTTTGTCTGAGAAGTGATTTTAAAAAAAAATCCACATCGCGTTAATCAGCCTGAGCTCCCTCACCGGGGAGGTTGTTTGCAAACAGCATCCTCCCCCATTGCACAACTGAGCAAGAATAAAACCTGCACACCTACGGTTTTTAGAAGAGCAGACAAAATAGCTATCCCACTCTTAGTAGCCTGCCTGCCTTTCTCTGCCTCCTCCCAGTTTGCTCCTGCTGTTCAAAGGTGAGCTGTGGGAAAAAGAAACCCACATGCTTGCACGGCTGTGGAGGGATGTTTTTTCTCTTTTCGGGCTGAGGGAGTATTTTCCTTTGTTCCTAAATTGTGATTCTCATTGTCTGTGGTGACCCAGACTTACGCCCAGCAAACCGAGGCAGTACCCAGGAGTAGTTTTTATAACTACATAGCAAAATGCAACCTTGCAACACATGCTGCAGTGTTTGTATTGTTCCCGAAATATGGAATTGTGCCACTTGGCTATCTTGGGCAAATTTCTAGTGTCGAACTAACTGCAGAAAGGAAAAGTAGGCATATTATAGCTTATTTGTATTCCAGTGATTAATGATAGTATTGCTGACTGTCTCATACTTTCTCGTACTCGATTCATGAGAAGTTATGGGCTAGGCTGTAGCAGAGAAGAGAAAATAATTGCTCCTGTTTGCTATTTGTAAAGATTGGAGTTCAGAGGACGATATAAATATGCTTACTGATTGAGTTATAAAACCTGACATTAAGGCAACCTAGGACTTTGTGTGATTATGTAGGGGGGGAAAAAAAGGGCCCGTGACTTTGCAAAGGACTACTATTGCATGGTGAACTGAATGCTTTGTTACTGAACTGAAACAGCACATGAGAATTTCTAGAATGAAAGCTCTGCTCGGTGCAGTAGTACAGTGCTGCACTCTAGGACGTTGGCATCTTTTCATGGAATAAACAGATCCCACAAAGCTGCTGCTCTGCATGAAATTACAGGTGAACTTGCATGGCAAGCAGTGAAGCGGGGGCTATGCGCTTCTTTGTTTCCTGTTTGGTTTGCAGGATTAAGGCACTGTTTTGATAACAGTATGAACAGCATAACTGCAGCTCACAAAGACTGGACTTTATTTTTATTTTTTTTCCCCTTCCCTTTAAGCTGTATGTTTTTGAGCTGATCTTGACATTTGAATACTATGGGTTTTTCCATATGCGCGAGGCACTACTTCAAGCCGTGCTCCAAAAATACCATCTTAGCCTGAATTGCTACTTTGTGAATACGCAGTTGTCAGTCCTGAACGCGTCTTAATTTAATGTGTGCTTTAAAATGCCTGCAGTATCGTGACTACTATTTGTCAAGTAGCCTTCCAGCTAAGAGACCTGCTATCTGGTATCTCATTGAAGACGCTCTTAGAGATTGCTTGCAGAAACATTGGTTTGGGTAACAGACACATACTGATGATTCTCAAGATTCATTTGGCTGCACCCACTGACTGTACAGATGCCGTTATTTGCTTCAAGGCTCTGTGGCATCCAAACAATGGTAACTTCTCACTTCCAATTCCCAGCAAGAACTAAATCAAACTGCAGCTTATTGGACATTTGCTGAATTGAGGCCAGGGATCTTAAAAGCTGGGATACAAAGAAGCCCTTTATAAAAGGTATTCTAGGCTGTAGCAGTATGATAGCGCTTCCCATCTCCCCCCTTTCAAACATAGTCCTGGTACATATCCAGACCTACTTATTTAACATAGTCTGAGAAATGCAAAACGTGCCTAATTTATATCAGGATAATCTGGTTAGGAGAGAATTCTGGAAAGGCTTTTTTTTTTTTTCACATGAGGGTTTGAGCTACACGAATGTTCCTGCTTAAATTTTATTTTGTCGCAGCCGCCTGGTCGAAAAGCCATTTGCTTGCAATGTAGTAGTTATGAGTTTTCAGACCCAAAAGTCAATGAATTCTCCTCTGGCATGAAAAATGTGTTGGGTCTGTTTGGCAGTCTGCCTTTAAGGTTGTTCTGCGCCGGAGTATAGCAGCACAGGTACGGGGTGGGGAGAAAGGGGTTTGTGAGGAGGGGGTGTCCCAGTTTCTTGGGGTTTGGGTTCTTTTTTGCGGAAGGAGTTTGTTAGAATTGTGCTCTGAAGCATTAAATGAGTCAGGTTTTGAAGCCTCAGGTAAATTTTTATTGAACCGTATCTCTCGCACTCAGTTCTGAAAGCTTTTAAAGCTTCAAAGAAAGCAGGGAGATTTGCTTCTTGGAGAGACTACAAATACCCGTTGTTGGAATACGAATACTAGAACACAAAAAGAAGAAATACAATTGCAGTTTAAACCAGTTGGTTTAGAGACCTATACCGGTTCTTCATTTTTATGTTCAGTTAGAATGGCACACAGCTACCTTAAATTCTTTTTACCCAAGTAACAAACCACCCCAGAGTAAGTTACATATTAATAGAATTTTTATGTTGGTGGAAATGCTAATCCCTTGCTTTGTAGTACCTCTGGAGCAGGTATAGTTAAAAGTAAAAATCAATACTTTGCTCATATTCTGCTTTAGCACACTGGCTTCTGTTATTCTCAATGAAGTCTTTCTTCTTGTAATGTGGGCATTTCTCAATTGACTCAAATACTGATTCATTCGTCATCACTAGATTATAGTAACTTTTTATATTTGGGTTTCCCAGCAGCCTTTTTAATTCTTACAGCTCATTCATGAGATCAGTGATAACATACTTACTAGTAAAGGGACACTTTGCTTTTAATGGAGCACTTGATTGAAATGCAGAGAGTTCAGGGAGGTTTTGTCTTTGCCTTTTGAAGGATGTTTGTCTGCACTCCAACAGGCAGGGCTATTTCCCCGCTTGTCCTTCTGATCTTATAAACAGCCATTGTCAAACTGAGACTTTGAAAGTGAAAGTGACTTTGCTGTTTGTCAGAGATGAAAGGCAGGCAGGAAGTAAATATGACTAGTGCTAGCTGATATTTTAAATCTGAAAATCCTTAAAGCTTTCATGGGTTAATAAAATCACGAGAGAGGGGCATATGGAGCAGGGTGCATTTAATGTGACGGCTTCTCCCAGTACAAAGCTACTGGCCATATTCTGTATGAGTTTATTTGGATGGAAAACAGAAGATAAACACGTTTCCTTCCGAGTGCTGCCCTTATACATTGCTAGTCTTCACAGCTTAATTCGGATTATGTTCTAAATTTGATCGGCTATTAGCTAATGAAATGATCCTTGCTACAAGACTGGCCTTTCCTGTCAAGGTTGCGTGCATCTTCTGTGTGGGGTTGGATAGTCTGCTTTGTCTTGTCCTCGGTGCTGTGAGCTTGTGACATCCTGTTTACACCAGTGCAGCTTCAGCAGCAGCATAAATTGTACTTAGAGATGGTTCTGTGAACAGAATTAGATGTACCATAACTCCCCTGTCCTTCGTGTCGCTAACCCTGGCTTTACTGTCATTGTTCCTGCAGGTGTTTGATATTGGCTGCTACCAGGAGTTACTAGCACCATGTTTTTGTCTGCCTGCGCATAAAAATATCAACCAAATTACTGAAATAATTCTTGGGGAGACAAAAGCGTATGTGTTCTTTGAAAGGAGCTATGGGGACATGCATTCGTTTGTTCGTACCTGCAAGAAGCTTAAAGAAGAGGAGGCAGCCAAACTCTTCTATCAAATAGCTTCCGCTGTTGCACACTGCCATGATGGTGGACTGGTACTGCGAGATCTCAAGCTGCGAAAGTTTATTTTCAAGGACGAGGAAAGGTAAGAGTCTCCCTTTTTACAGGTGGGGGTGTCTGAGGTCAGATACTCAGAGTTACAGGGTGCTGTGCCCTTCATTGTCACCGTACTGTTCGTTTGTGGTACACGAGGTGTTACGCTTTCTTTGCTTCCCTCTGCAACCTGATCATGGGATGGATGTGTCGTTTTACCTTCTGGCTTAGGCTTTGGAGTAAAGTAAGTATAGAGTGTCCTTTGCATCTGTGCCTGGCCTCTGCGTCTCAACCCAGAGGAGCACCCTCATTTCTGAGGAGGGGACATCTCCTGGAGGAAGGCTCTGTATAGATGACTGGTGTAAGAGCTTCGCTGTCATAAATGCTGCTTGCGTTCCAAGAGGAAAGGAGAAAAAGATCCAGTCTGTTAAAGAGGGTTGGGGACTGCAATGGCTTCTTCCAGTGATGAGGCATGAAGAGGACAAACAGCCAAGCGGTTATTGCTGACATAGGTTGGAGGGAAGGGCCACCAGTGCTTTGAAGGACTGCTTTGGGGACAACTTCTTGCTTCCCATGCTGGAAGGGTCTGGAGGCTGCTTCTGAGAGTGTTGTGCGGTCACTAATCATGCTGAGACTAAAACCACCTTGCTGTGTGGGTGCCTGATTTCAGTATCAGAGCTTTTGTGGTACTTGGGGAACTACCTTTTTTTTCTTTTTTGGTATCTCCACCTTGCACACCCTCTTCTCTCAATAATGGGGTAGTAAATTATTTGGGGAAGGAGTATGGGAATACAGGGGAAGAAATAATGCTGGATGCTGTAGGTATATTTTTGGAGTGCTATTTCTGATGCTGACCCCTAGCAATACTGTTTGTACCTGTGGAAACTTCATATCTCTTTCCTTGTGGATACCAGTTTTCATTGTGTTACATCATGTATTCGCTTGCAACTTCCACATAAAGCACCAGAGTACTGAACGCTGTCAGATTAATGTCAGGCTTTCACAGAGGGATTTAAATTGGAAGATGGCCATTACAAAAAAAATGAAACTAAATGGGGGCAGAGCCTGCCTTTGTGCTTCTTCATGTCTTGGTAGGGGATGGGGAGGTATTTTTCCCTTTTAGTTAAATCCTATACACTGTCTGAAAGCTTGTTCAAACTGTTGCAGAGTGAAATATATGTGCTGGAGAGCTTTGTTAAAAATATCCAGTGCATATCAATTCTATTTGGGGCTCTTTGGGGAAGTTATAAGCAACAGCCAAGGCACGTAAGTTTTCTACAGGCTCAGTAAGTCCATGATCTGAGAACTAGAAAGGAACTAATAGACAATTCAGTCACGAAAAAGAAGTTCATGTCCTTAAAATAAAAATGACAACCATCTATCCTGTGTAAATATTCTCTACTTAAATTTTATCACAAGCTGAGTTTTGCAAAATAAACTTCTTTTAATCTCTTCACGAACTGAAGAATAAAAGACATGTTTTTATTTCTCAACTCAGGCAATTCTCTGCAAAGCAAATAGAGAATAGCTATTTTTTCCACCACAGCCCCAATATATATGATTCCCCTTTCATCCTCTTCAAATAAAAAGGCCTAAAATGAAACTAGCTTAATGTCCATTCAGAGAGAAATGCAAAGCGGATAGATGTAAACTGCTCTTTCACAACTTTACTCTGAGTTTAATAATTAAAAAACATTACAGCACCTTTGATACAGATAAGAAGGAAACGCGTACAAAATAGTTGAGGGAGGGATTGTTTTCTGTTGTAACTGATAACGTCCTAACGTTAAAATGGATTATTTTTTTTTTTTTCCCCCTGGAGGATATATGTAAGCGTGTGTGGTTTTGTATGAAGGAGAGGACTTGGAGAAGCCCTAAGGCTCAGCCTCGCTCTCTGCTCTGGGTGAAGGCAGCGTGAGCTCAGAGCAGTGCAGTGGGCGCAGACGCGGTGAATACTTTTGAACTCCTACCCTGCTGCTTACTAGGAACTGAATGTAACACGAGGCACGGGGCCAAATCCTTTAGCCACCCAAGAAGAGTGGTGCGTACTATAATAGCAGTGTTTGCTCTTATGAATGTTTTTAACGTAACTGTAGTCTGCAAAATCACACAGTTGCGCACTTTTGAACAGCGTCTTCTAATTATACAATAATTCACTTTAAAGGTCAAATGCGACTTGCTGGTTATTTTTATGATAATCATAATGCGGTTTTCTTCTGGATGTAATGTCGATTTGTAAATAAACAGAGATGAAATAGCCTAAGATAGAAATAGACCCAAACAGTGACTGTCTTTTTCACATGCTCCGATCATCAGACTGTAATCAGTCATCACTTTCAATCTGCTGCTATATTTAGGCTGAGAAATCTTCCTGGTCCTTCTGGGTTCACAGAGGTGTTTGTGCGTTGCTTGCATCTCTCCGAGCTCGCCTTTCCCTGAGGCTGCCCCTGCACAGAGCCTTTCCGAAGCTGCCGTTGGCGCCCAGTCCCTGGGAGACGGGTGCTGCACAATCTGTTGATACCCGTAATGAACCGAGGAGGCAAAAAAAAAGAGGTGAAAATGATGGTTTGAGAAATGAACATGAACTCTGCTGCTGTGTGTCGCCTGTTCTTCAGTGGAGCTCTTTCTCAGCAGTTCTTTTCCTATTTCTTCAAGTCTGTTTTTCTGCAGTTCACCTTTAGTACCTACTGCTTGGAAACTTTCTCTTCTTGAAGACTCTCGCAGCTTTTATTTTGGTAGAAGGCAAGATGGGAAATCCAGCATGCAGGCAACACATGAATGGAAAACTTGCTGCTTTTATTTTTTTATTTTTTTTTAGGAAGATGCTTGTCTGCTCTTAGCTGAGAGCTGCCAGACTGGAGGAGCAAGAGGCAGTGTGAAGGATATATGGAAGCAGTTCCATTCCTTTTGAAAAAGAGTATCAATTAAAGCATGTCTTAGTGCATATTCTTTCCATTGATCCTAATGATAGGAAGTTCAGTCTGAAATCAGAGCTCCTGGAGTTTTGTGGACTGGTACACAGAGCATTGCAATTCTTTCCACCTCATTCCCATTATCTAAATTACAGCTGGAATTTGCAAAGATTCAGGCTTCTGATCTAGCAGTGTCATGAGTGCTGTTTGCTCCTCCTGATGGCCCTGCTTAAGAATGCGTGTTATTTGGATGTTCCAAATTGCAGTGCCTTGTGATGTCTGCAACAAGCTAGGAAGTAAAAAGGTGGAAAAAAAGGTTGGAAGCCCATAGTGCTGAGCATTTTGTAGGGGTCCTAATTTTACTAGTGACGTTCTCTTGATGTGCTAAATCAAAGGTAGACTGTGATGGCACATTAGGTCTTACTACTGCACGTGTGTAAGTACATCAGCACTTAAAATGAAATCCAAAGTCCCACACTGTGGAAACAAACAAAAACAATTGGTCTGTGTTTCAAGGTACTCTACAGCTTCTTTTAATCCTGAACTGCAGAAATTTGGAAGATGTGGTAAATTGCATTCCACAAAAATGATGTGCTGTTGCCAAGCACCTTAGGTCTTTTATGGTGGCTTTTTGTTTTGTATAAAAGAAGGTTGGGGGGTTGTGGTTTTGGGGGGAGGTGTGCCTGTGGTTCCATTTGTAAACTATAGGTGAAATAGCCAGCCTTATAGTCTTGAAATTTCAGTTAAGGTCCTTAAACCTGCAGCTGGTCTTGATGAAGCAGGACTTCTAAGACATTACAGCATGGCTGGAAATGTTTTGTAAGACTGGGTTAGCAAGCAGCAGCACATCCATTAAATGAGGGCAGTGACTTTCAGAGCACTGAAAATATGGAAAACAGCACTGACTCGCCATGCTGGGTCTCACTGGACTTTGTAAAGTAACTATAAGATTCTTGAATATTTTAAAAATTGGGTCCTTAAACTTCTAAATAAAACTTTAATCCAAACTGGTAGAGATGAGCTAAGGTAAAACACATGGGTTTGCCTATTTTCTGCTTCTATGCATGGTGGTCACTTTTTCTTCTCCTGGATACTAAGTCAGGTCAATGTAGGTATTTGTGGGGCTCTTGCTTTTGTTTTTGCTGTGTTCATGTGGTGGTATTTACAGTTTTCCTTGTACAGCCTGTCCTTGTAGTAGGCCCTTGGGCAGAGTGACCGTGCCCTTCTCCTAGCTGGTGTCCCATAATGATGTTGAAGAATGGGTAGAGCGGTTTGGGTTGTGCTAAGAATAGCACTCTACGCTGTATATTGCTAATAAAGCAGTTCATCAGTCTGATATATAGCAGATGCTCTGAGAAAGATCCACCTCAAAGATCTCAGAATTAAATCAAGCATTTCTGTGTTAGTTGTTCCAATGGTTTTCTTAACACAAGAACATTTCTGCTGTCAGGGAATTACTAATTTCTTTAGTGCATTTTTAAGCCTTTAATTATATTAAAATATTAGCTGTCGTAATATTTGAAGCTTAAAGACCTTGTACATTCATCATACTTGTTGAAGGGAAAATTAAAATAATTTTGGTATTTAGATATTGTAATTTTCCTGTATTCTTTGAGTAAATATGAGAAATGGTAGGCAGGTGGGATTCAATAAAAATAAATAGAATTTGACACTTTTTGCTCTGTGCTGGGGAATGCAGCCAGTACAATACAGTAATTTAGAAAGCCTGTGTTAGCATAACATATTTATTTGGTGTTCTTAGATATTTTTTTTCTTTTTTCCCCTCTAGAATTTCTCAGCTTTGAGTGGATGATGCTTTAAGGTGACCTAGTTATGCTGTGTGCAATCCTAGGGATACCAACCTGATCCCATGAAAAAATAGAGAATCCATATACTGACCTTTTTCCAAGTAGACCTTTCATTTTCTTATAGTTAGTAGTAAGTTTTTCCTCCAGCGTTAGTCCAATTATAATGCGGTCAAATGCTTTTTCCCTGTGGTGTTAGAACTTGCTGTTTTACTTACCATTCATTCAGTAGAGGACAGGTAAGTTAGTGCTTTCCCTAAGTCCTAGAAAGAGGGTCCTAAAGTGAACGAAAATGAAACAAAACAGGACAAAACACCAGAAGATTTAGAAATAAA